CTGTGACCAGGACTCAACTTTCCAGCACTCACCAAAAACACCCTACCTAACACACGTGGTCCTGGAGGACAGCCTTCTCCTGCTGGGCCTCAGTTTCCGTGCCCTGGCATGCCGATGGCAAGGCCAGCCTGACTCACAAGCTTTCAGAAAGATCTGGAGTCTTCAGGGACAGAAAGTGCTTTGAAAAGCACCCAGCATCCCACCGGAATGACATTCCTTCCCTTTGCTCCCGAAGCAGCCAAACTTGACGTTCCGGAAGATGCAAGCACCAAGGCCCCAGAGAGGAGACATGGGGGTAACTCGGGGAGCACGGAACAAAGGAAAATCACCAGGTCCACTCAGGTCCCCAGAGGTAGAGCAAAGGGAGGAGCACGGGAGGGGAGCTGCAGGGGGTGCCTTGGGGTGTTGCTGTTTTTGGTGACTGCTCAGCTGACGGCTTTCCAAGCTGAGAAACACACATCCACAAACTCTAACCTCCTCTGGCTTAAAATAGAGCCGCTGAACCAAAAATGCCAAGCACAGGGCAGAGTCACCTGCCTGGCAGAGCTAGACAGCTCCCCCATGGCCCCAATAGCCCCCACCCCCACAAGGCACGTTGGAAAAAAGCACCTCTCAGAATCACAGGGTACAGTATCACAGGGCATGCCGGACACAGTCAGTCAAAGACCCGTAGCCCCATCCTAGAGATGAGCAAAGGGAGGCCCAGGGAGGCCCTGGGAGTGTGCAGCCAGCAGTACCTTGTCTGCCAGGGTAACAGAGCATGACCAGGGGAGCCAGGCAGCCCTGAGTTCAAATCCCAGTTCATCCACTTCTGGGTTGTTCCCTAGGGCCGCCATTCCCTGAAAGCAAGCCCCCTCCCCCAACACATTATCCCAACAAGCTCTTTCCAGGCCCTTCTCAGCTGAAGTGACTTGGCCTCTCCAAGCCTCTGCTTCCTAAATGATAACGGAAGGATTCCATCCTTCCAGTCTGAATATACCCAGCACAGACAGGTGCTCAACCATCTGAGCGTTTCCCATGCGTCTGGAAAAAGGATTCGTGACACCAGCAAGCAGAAAGGCACTTGTCAAAAGGGAGAGGAAACAGCCACCAGCAACCAGGCATCCAGGTACCCAGGCACTGGGCACGTGCAATTACCTAACACCATTGGTAATCTTCAACATGGTCCTCCAAGGTGAGTACCATTACTGTCCCTACTTTTCAGATGGTAAAACTGAGATGCAGACAAGTGGAGGATTCTGCCCCAGGGCACGCGGTTAGGATGTGGGGATTTGAACTCATGTCTTGCTGATTACACAGTCACCATGCTGGGCAGCTTCAGGTAAAACCAGGACCTCACTAATTAATGACCTTCAGTGTAGCTTCGTCCCTTCCCTGAGAACAAGCCTCCCCTGCTCTTCTCTTCAACTCTCCAGTCAGGCTCTTCTCAGGCCCTTTCTGGGCTGCGCGTCATGAGTGTCCACTCCCCGTCCCCAGTACTTGCCATCCTCCCCCACCCTAGGACTCTATCCCAGGTTCTGCTCCTCTGAAGTCTGAGCCGGAATCAGGAAGCCAAAGTTGCTGATGCAGCTGCTAAAAATAAGGCTGAGGCAGCAGAGCGCAAGCCCTGGCCCTCGGCACCTTGCTTCTGGGCCACCGCGCCGCCTGCGGCTCAGGGGAAGTTCCACCCGCGCGACAGAGTTGGGACAGGTCCCTGCAGGCCCGGCACTCACTGTGACATTTGTAATCGTGGTAAGCACTCCTAGACCATGTCCCGAGGGGCCACCATTGCTGCTCTCGGGTGTCACATCTCCACGCGTTCCATCTTCACAGCCTCTAGACGAGTTTCCTGTTGCTGCTGTAACAAATGACAACAAATTTAGTAGACTGGACAACACTCATTTATCATCTTCTAGTTCCATAGGATGGAAGCGTGACGCAGATCCCTGGGCTGAAAGCAGGGGTCTCTCTGGAGGTTGTGGGGAGAATCCACATCCTTGTTCTTTCCACACTCTTGAAAAGTCAGTTTTAATTATGTTTAGAATGAACAGTCTTCTAAATGGCACAGCACTGCTCTGTCAGTTCACTCTGCTGAGGTAACCGGGTTGCTTTTATACTGAACCCTGTGCCACTGGTGTGTCAAATGCCATAATGGTCACCCATGGTGGACAGTGTTTGGTGGCGCTCCCAGATTAAGACAGGTTTGGAAGCAGGAGTGGCATCCACTTCCTAAACAATATGCCTCTGGAAACTATGAATTTAGAGAAACGACAATAGTTATAGAACAGGATTCAGGTCTTTTGTTCATAGGGTTGCTATGAGTCATGCAGTACTTAACAGCACTTAACTTAACAAAAACAACAGGGAACATCTGGTCTTAACTCAAGGTCCCCTTCGCCTGGGTGCCGTGGAAGAAAGGCCTGTACGGAGATTACAGATTACTTCTGTATAGATTACAGCCCAGAAAATGCATCAGAACAATTCTACTCCACAACACATATTATCTCCATAAGTCACAACTCAATTCCATGGCAATGAGTTTGTTGAGTTTTATCAACAATAGCATTGGCCTCAAATGGCTAATCTTTTTATCTTCACCTTAGCTGACTCTTGTTGTGTGCAGTCGACTCTATACTGACTTCTTGTTTTTAAGTGCTGTCGTGTCGAGCATGACTCATAGCGACCCTATGAACAACAGACCTGAACTCTGTTCTATAACTATCATCATTTCTCTAATGTTCATAGAGTTTTCAAAGGCATTGTTTAGGAAGTGGATGCCAATTCTACTTCCAGTCCTGTCTTAATCTGGGAGCTCCACCAAACACTGTTCACCTTGGGAAACCATTATGATATTTGACACACCAGTGGCACAGCTTTCAGCATCACAGCTGAAGCTACCTCAGTACAACAAACTGACAGACCAGCGCAGTGCTGTACCACTTTGGAAAATGTTCTTCCCAAACACAATTAACGCCAGGCCAGAGGACTGGCTGCAGGTCTGAGGACCCAATGGACTTTTAACTACAAAGGCTGGCCCACAAGGTCCTGACTAACTTAAACAAGAGGCTTCCAGCCCACAGCTGCTTGTTAGCTAAATCCAGTAAATCCAATCAGCCCTCACATGACTGTGAATGAAATAAAAACTCACTTAACAGTTTACACCTGACTCTGAATGAAAGCAAGAGCACCTACCCACTAGAATTCTGACTTCCGGTGACCCTACTGCACAGCAGAAATGCCCTGCAGGATGCCCCAGGCTGTCATTTCACGGGAGCAGACAGATTTTCGGATCTTTTCTGTGTGAAGTGTTGGCCCTTCCGTGAGCAGGTAAGTGCTTACCCACTGTGCCATGAAGTCTCCCAGTCAGATGGTGTTGAGTACAGCTCATTGAGGCCCTCCACAGGTTTTCAGAGGCTGTAAATCAAAATAGGAGACGACAGCCCTTCATTCTCCTGCAGAGTAGCAGGTAGATTTGAACTGCAGTCTTCGAGAGAGCAATGTAATTCACTGTAGAACATGCCACCAGAACTCCCTCGTGAGCTCGGAGGACAATGTATTCTCATCTGCAACCCTAATGTCACTTTGCTATGTAGCCAAACATGTTCAGAGATCTGGGGAGTTAGACTGTGAATATTTTGGGAAGGGGTATTTAGGAGCTCTGGTGGCACAGTTGTTTAACTTGAAGGTTGACAGTTTGAGCCCACCAACTGCATCTAGTGAGAACGTCAACTCAGTCTGCTTCTTAAAGAGGATATCCTAGTTATCTGGGTAGGTTCTACTGTGTGTCAGAAAGGGCCTCTGAGTCAGAATCAACTCAATGGCAATGTTTTGGCGTCGTTGTATGTTTGTTTTTAATTCTGCCAACCACAACCATCTTACAGCGGACAATTTCATAGTCCCATTTTACTGATGGGGACACTGAGGTACGTACCCAGCTGTACACTGCTGGTAAGAAACAGGAGCGGCCATTGAGTTAATTCCAGTTTCTCGGAACCACTGTAGAAGAAAGTAGAATTGGCCCTAGAGTTTCCAAGGCTTTGGCTCTGTTCTCTGCTAGTGGATGGTTAAGTTCTAACCTGTGACCCTTTTGTTAGCAGTCCAGTTCTTTAACCACCAGGAGCGCTAGTACACTACCGTAGCCTTTGAATGAGCCTTCCACCTCTGGGTCACATCTCTTTTTCACATGACAGCCAGAATGCAGCTTTTGAAAATTAGGAAACAGCTGGGTTTCTGTGGTCTTTAGGTTTTGGGGACCTTTCCCCCTCCTCCCTGCTTCCGAACTTCCCACGGCTTTCAATTTCATGAAAGAGTAAAACTTTGCCTGCCCTGAACCCACCTCATTTTCCGAAGCCCCTGACTGCTAACCCATCTCTTCTCTGCTCAGACGACTTCTCCAGGCGCCAAGTCCATCATTAGAGAGGCTTCCTTCCACATTAGCTGGCTGTACCCCGCCTTCTCTCGAGAATCTCTTTTTCTTCTTCACCACTCGTCTGAAATGATTTTATTTTCCCCTTGGCTCAGGAGTCACTGGCCAAGCCTCCTTGCTAGGATTATAAGCACATTTACACCGCAAACCTCCCCGAGGTGCTCGACAGTCATTTGTTGGATGACTGACTGACTAACGAACCGAATGAACGATCCAGAATCTCGGGGCGAGAGCTGGTGATGTGGACCGGGCTTCCCGGCTTTGGGCGCCGCGCTCCATATGGCCCTATTTGCGGACGCGCTCGCCCCGCGGCGGCCCCGTGCAAACA